CCGCTCAGCTGCTGACCCTGCCGCCCTCACACCAGTGCACTGCTCAGCTGCTGACCCTCCCACCCTCACACTGGTGTGATGCTCAGCTGCTGACCCTCCCGCCCTCACACCGGTGTGCCGCTCAGCTGCTGACCCTGCTGCCCTCACACCGGTGTGCTGCTCAGCTGCTGACCCTGCCGCCCTCACACCAGTGTGCTGCTCAGCTGCTGACCCTCTCGCCCTCACACCAGTGTGATGCTCAGCTGCTGACCCTGCCACCCTCACACCAGTGTACTGCTCAGCTGCTGACCCTGCCACCCTCACACCAGTGCACCGCTCAGCTGCTGACCCTGCCCCCCTCACACCAGTGCGCTGCTCAGAGGCTGACCCTGCCACCCTCACAACAGTACACTGCTCAGACTAGCACATTTGACAGCCCTCAGAGCTAGGGTTCTAATAGCAGAAATGCATATGAATGAGACAGTCTCTACACTTAGAGAAAAACCTCCCAGCAAACAGTACTAAGAATGTGAAGCTAAAACCCTGTTGATGGGATGAGGTCCCAGGGGCATCAACACATGGATGGCAAAGCTACTGGGGACCAGCCTCACAGGCAAGGACCTAAGGAGTCCTAAGTGGTCACCTCCTCCCCTCCAGAGCAAGACCCTGTCTTCAGCCAACCAAAGGAGACCCGAGGCATAAAACAAAAAGCCAAAGAGTGACAGTAAAGGACTCAGGTCAACCAAGGGGCAGTGTGGGAGGAAGCCCAGCAGTGCTGTCTCAGCCACAGATAGGGTCTCCTCGGCAGGGTCTTAAAAGTGAAAGCTTGGCTTTCCTGAGCTCATCAGTACACATCTGCATCAGTAATATTAAAGTGCTGTTTTGGGAATAATGATCCTCTCTGTTGGCAGATGAAAACCTTCTACGGAGGTACAAAAGGGCCGTGACGTTTTGCTGGGACAACACAGATGACACATGCTGGGAAGAAACAGCTCAGAGCACACAGGGCAGCTCCTCTGCAGGGCGTTTGGTGACTGGCTCATCTTCAGACAGCTGATGGAAAGGGTATTAGCTTCTCTAACTTGAGAGAAAAATAATAACACCTACCAAGAACATCTGTTAAAAATACATAAGCTACCTGATATTTGCCATTATAGATTAGTACAGCAAGAGAAAACAATTCCCTCTTGGGTCAGACATGGTGGCTCACACCTGTAATCTTGGCTTTCTGGGAGGCCAAGGCAGGCAGACTGCTTGAGGTCTGGAGTTTGAGACCAACCTGAATAAGAGCAAGACCCTGGCTCTACTAAAAATAGAAAAACTAGCAAAACCTTATGGAGAGTGCCTTTACTGCCAGCTCCTTGGGAAGCTGAGGCAAGAGGATAGCTTGCACCCAGGATAGAGGTTGCTTGAGCTGTGAAGCCACAGCACCCTAGCCTGGGCAGCAGAATGAGACATTGTCTCAAAAAAAAAGAAGAAGAAAGAAAAGAAAAGAAAAAAGGAACTCCACCCCCACCCCTTGCATTTCCTCCACAAATCAGCAGTCCCAGTTTCTCAAAGAAAAGCAATGAAATGATTAAAATATAAAAAGACTAAACAATCATGTTCCTCCTTCAATCTGGTGTACTTGGGGGTGCTGCACCAGCCCACCATGCAGAAAACAAAACTGCAGCTCAGAGAGGTAAGACACTTAGCACAAAATGATGTGTATCTATGACAGGGACTACTCTGCATCAGTCATCTGTGTCCTTAGAGGCACCATGTGTCCATATCCACACGCAGGATGTTCCTCACCTGACGCTACCACACGTGCACCGACGTGTGCACCATCTACCACAACACAAAGCCAGCCTGAAAATGCCTCCGATGCACAGCAAGCAGGAAGACGGAAACATGAGTACAATTTACCTGATAGATGAAACCGCTCATCCTAGGACTGGCAGACAGCATCAGCAGGATATTTGGGAAAAGCAGAAGATACCTTTCATTCTTTTCCTAATAGAAAAAAAAAAAAAATACAATTAACTTTTTAAAAAAATCTACTTAAAAATGTAAGCACAAATACATTATACTTTTATATTAGGCCCTATGAAATATTGTACTGTTATTTCCTATTTAGGTATTTCCACTAAATTGTATTAGATAAATTAAATGGAAACCGATGATAAACTCTGCATTAAATCTTAATATATGGCTCAGCACCTGTGGCTCAAGTGGCTAAGGCGCCAGACACATACACCTAAGGTGGTGGGTTCAAATCCAGCCTGGGCCCGCCAAACAACAATGATGGCTGCAACCAAAAAATAGCTGGGCATTGTGGCAGGCGCCTGTAGTCCCAGCTACTTGGGAGGCTGAGGCAGGAGACTCGCTTGAGCCCAGGAGTTGGAGGTTGCTGTGAGCTGTGATGCCACAGCACTCTACCCAGGGAGATAGCTTGAGGCTCTGTCTCAAAAAAAGAAAAAAAAAAAAAAACTTAACATATGATTAGAGAAAGCTTTAACAATTAGGTTAAAAGATGGATTGCTAAATTCTTCAAAATAAAAAGCTACAAAAGTAAACTAAATGATTAAAAGATCTTGAACTCACAAGTAGCCTGTGAAATGTCTTTAAAAAATATTTGGTGAGGGGCTGGGCACAGTGGACTGCCTGAGCTCACAGGTTTGAGACCAGCCTGAGCCAGAGTGAGACCTCATCTCTAACAATAGCCGGGTATCGTGGCAGGTGCCTGTAGTCCCAGCTACTTGGGAGGCTGAGGCAAGTGAATCACTTAAGCCCAAGAGCTGGAGGTTACTGTGAGCTGTGACACCACAGCACTCTACCGAGGGTGACAAGGTAAAACTCCGTCTCAAAACAAAAAAAAAAAATTGGTGAGGAGTTCAGCCCTGCCAGTAACTATTTTTAGTTAATCTAAAATTTTCTTGTGGCTTAGAGAAAAGGAACCTGCGAAGTTTTAGTGGGGAGGAGAACCAAGTGGAGTTTCCAAGTTAGAGGAAGGAGAAGGTAAATCTTTAAAGTCAATGTTGACCTCTATTACTAATTTCTGGCATTTCCTTAGACCACCCAATGTCAATTCCATGTCGTTTCATCCATCCCGCAAACTTCACCTGGTTTAAAGACTTAAAAACATTACTTACATATTAAAAATCATTTGCTTAAACAAGGTAGAAAAAAAAATCCAAAGAGACCACAACTAAAAGAAATTCCCAAGAATCTAAAAAGAGACAGAGAAATGTCAGGCAGTCCCTGTCACATGACCCTCAAAGCACTGCCCTCAAAAGTGAAGCCAAGGTACTGAGCACACTCCTCAGAACGCTGGGCCCAGGAAGAGTGCCCTGACATGGAGCTTCCACCCTTCAGAGGCGGGACTGAGAACCACTCACTGCTCACTACCCTCCCCACCCCCGAAGGAGTATCAGGGCAGAGGCTCCAAGGAAACCTGCTGCACCAATCTCTCCAGTAGCTCTGCATCATTTCTGGAGTAGCACCTGCAACATCATACAGCTCTTGTATTACAAAGAACACACTTTGCAAAGTTTCCATAAATTATTTCAAATAAAGTTAAAAAGAGCATTATTAAGAAACAACTGCTTATGGACAGATCTAGGGGTTTGGGAGGTTGTAAATAAGAAAAGTCATTGTTCTTATGTTAACCAAACTACGAGACTTTAGGAAATGGTGGGATATTTCAAAATTTTATAGGTGGGAAGGAACCTACATTGCTGAGTCTTAAACTTCAGTTTCTTAACAATAGAGTTTCACATTTGAAAATGGGCCATCAGGACATTGTGGTCATGTTAATCATTTTTTGGAAAGGTGTAATAAAATTCAAAAAGTGGTGTCTGCTTAGTGACCCAATGAACGTATACTAAGGCAAAGTGTGAAACAAATGGCTCAGTTTTCACTGTGTGTGTGGAGGGGTCACAAACGTATGATTTGACCTCGCATTTAAACCAAATTCCCATAAGCATGTGCCAACTAGTGAACATTAATGAAAAAGTATAATGACCTCAACCAAGAACACAGCATGTCCCTGAGAGAAACTGCCTGGACAGTACCAGCTCACTTACTCCAGTACATGTCTACACACGGGGTTCCCAGAGTCCTGCCTGGACAGTACCAGTTTGCTCACTCTAGCACACATCTGCACACGGGTTCCCAGCGTCCTGCCTGGACAGTACCAGCTCGCTCACTCTAGCACACATCTGCACACGGGGTTTCCAGAGTCCTGCCTGGACAGTACCAGCTCACTCACTCCAGCACATATCTGCACACGGGGTTCCTGGCGTCCTGCCTGGACAGTACCAGCTCACTCACTCTAGCACACATCCGCAAACGGGTTCCCAGAGTCCTGCCTGGATAGTACTGGCTCACTCACTCCAGCACACATCTGTACACGGGGTTCCCGGCATCCTGCCTGGACAGTACCAGCTTGCTCACTCTAGCACACATCTGCACACGGGGTTCCCAGAGTCCTGCCTGGACAGTACTGGCTCACTCACTCCAGCACATATCTGTACACGGGGTTCCTGGAGTCCTGCCTGGACAGTACTGGCTCACTCGCTTCAGCACACATCTGCACACGGGGTTCCCGGAGTCCTGCCTGGACGTGTTCCCTCAGCTCCTACGGCTCTAGACCAGCTGATGTCAGCTGGACCAAAACTGGCCTATACTCAGCTCTAAGCCCCTCAAATATGTGCAGTCTCTTTCACATAATCATGACATAAGACAGAATTCTTATTACATTTTGTCACTGCTTTAAATTCCTTTTAAAGTCTCGCATCGTGAGACCCTAAGAGTGGGCTGAGCACATGTGGGGTTTGTAGTGAGGCTGCCGTACCTCACTCCCCGCACACTGGATCAGGACCTGGGACATGTAGATGACGCTGCCCAGGGTTTTAATGTCGTCCCCCTCCCAGCTCCGGATGGACTCTGTCAGGATCTGCAGCTCAAGCTCTTTCCTCTTCCGGACTTCTTGACACTGGGCCTGAGACACACAGAACAACACTGTCAGAGAGACAGACTCTAAAATCTTAGGTTCTAGCCACGTGACTTTGTGTCTTACTTCTTAAGATAATTACTGGTTTGTATCTTACTTCTTAGACAGATAATCTATTGAATGGTTCACTTAATTGTATGAAATTAAGAGAACAACACACACAACTATTCTAGAATACTGAACACTGCTTTAGAAAAATACAGCAGATTGGGCCACTTCAACAAAGAAAAATGTAAACTGGACAAGAAAAATACTTCAGTCTGGTTTTATTAAAATACAGAAGGCTGGGAAGAAGGAGAAGGGCAGAAAGAACCTCTCTACAAACAAGGGGTGCGCGTCGGTACTGCAGTGAGGCCACACAGGGCAGGGGACGGGGACACACCAGCACCCTGTCCCACAGAAGGCACTACAGATAACGTGGGGACAGGTCAAATGAAATGTTTTAAATAATTTTAACATGCTCTAACATCAGTTATGTTGTGCTTTCTTAAGTTTAAATAACCGCTGTATCATCTTTCTGGTGTTCGCTCACCAGCCATGCGATGCCTACTATGCATTTGTTCATATTTTACTTGAGTAAACCCTGAATTCACGTACACATTTTATATCATCTAACTTTTTCAGCTGATTAATTCTTCCACATTCACTTGCCATTATCATCTCTGAGAAAAAGAAAACCTAATATGCCTAACCACTTACCGAAAGGCTTTTGAAGGCAGTCATGGACTTCTGGATGTCTTGTCTGTCGGTGTGATAGTCCTTGGAACAAAAGCAACACCCTATCAGCCTTCATGATGAAGTTTTTCTTAAAAAGGCACTTTCTACAGACCAGCCAGAAACTTTGCTAACGCTGTTCCACCCTTAACATGTCATTTTTAAAAGTCACCATTAAAGCACCATTTCTTACCCTTTAAGAGTGTCATTAAGTCAATGGACTTAGGGGAAAATACTTTAGGACAGAACAGCCAAAGAGCATGAGCAAACCAGTGCTGTCCTGTCACTCCAGCTCCACTGGATACCCTCACCAAGGGCTCACGTGTGGCCTCTGGCTGCTCCTGCACCAGAACCCAGAGCTGAGCAGCTGTGAAGATCTCAGCGCCTGCCCACTACAGCAGAGGTCTGCCCACCCCAGACAGGAGAGTCCCTTCAATCCAATTCCTGCCAGGCCTACAACCTGCCACTGCATAGGAGAACCAAAACCATCAGTTACACAGCCCTCCCTGCATCATTACTCTGCAACTTGTAACTTGTTATCTGTAGCTTAATGTTCCTGCTATGACACCTCAATGCCATCTGGAAATCAGCTTTTGTTTTCCAGCTTCAGGCCACTTGTCCATCAGCAATAGTGGGTGAGGGAAGGGAGAGGAAGAAGAGATGCTTTTCTGTAGGGATGGAGAAGGGGAAAAACCTTAATAGCCAACAAACTCATCCTCAAAGTCCACTGCACTACAATCTCTAGGTGAAGTCTCCTGGGGCTCTAAGAAGTCACTAATAACGACGTCTGTCATGGCCCAGTTGGGCAGGCCCGGAGCAGCAGTGTGGCGGGCAGTACCTCCATGTGCCTCTCGAGCTCCTTGAGCAGTGTAGGGTACTTGTCCAGGCGCAGGAAGGGCTTGCTGAGGCCTGTGGTCAGCACGAGGATCCCGGGGCTGCTGGCACCTCTCGCCTCCATGAACTCCCCCAGCTCCTCACTGGGCAGCGCAGAACGGCCGGAGAGAAGATGTGAGTTAGAGAAACAGCAGGATGCTGTGAGCACCCAGGGCAGCCAGGACATATGTCTCGAGTGCTGCCCTTATCCCTGGGCAGGTTACAGCTATCACACCCATGTCTGTGTGGGCATGGGCTGGATGTGTCCACGCACCACAGGGACGCCCCAAAGGATCTACACTGCTCCTGGGGAGCCATAAAAGTGAGCACAACACAGAACCCTGAGTCTCCCGCACCTCCACTGGAGGCCATCAGCTTGTCCACAGTGAGGGACGTGTCCAAGGGTGAACACGTGCTCTGGGAGCTGCATACGGTTCTATAATTATAGCAGAACCTCTGTAAGTTGACACCCAGGGGACTGTGACAAACTCGTCTCCATACAGTGGTGGTCACCATAAGGAACTAGTTTGCTGCACTCAGACATGCACATGGATTATGCTCTGTCTATGAAAATTAGGTCAACGTGAGGTGGTCAGTATGTGTATGTGTCGGGGGGTAGGGGGGTCAGCTGCGAGGTTCTGCCATCCCAGCACAGAAACAGAGCACTTCCGGATATGCATGTCTCTGGGAACACGTGCATCTGTAGGTATGTTTTCACGGGCACAGCCCACTCAGCGTCTGTGTCTACAACTCTGCTAACACTTGCTGCACTGTGTATACGCCAAGCCTGGTGGCAACTCCAGGACCCTGCTTTGGACACGCGGCTGCTCACTCTCAAGACCGCCCTGATGTGAATAGCGCTGAGTGCATGGTCATCATCCACCATTATTTCGCACATGGGGACACCCTCTGCCTTCCTCAGCATCAACTTTCTCGTGGGGACACGAGTCCAGGACAGCAGGACACTAGGACAAAGGGTAGGGAAATACAATGATGTGACCACTTACCATGCTGACACTATATAGATGCTTTTTTTTAATTTTTATTTATTTTTTTGAGACAAGACTCTCACTTTGTCGCCCTCCGTGGAGTGCTGTGATGTCATAGCTCACAGCAACCTCAAACTCTTGGGCTCAAGCGATCCTCTTGCCTTAGCCTCCTGAGCAGCTGGGACTACAGGCTTCTGCCACAATGCTTGGCTAGGTTTACAGACAAGGTCTTGCTCTGGCTCAGGCTGGTCTCGAACTTGTGAGCTCAGGCAATCCATATAACCTCCCAAGTGCTGGGATTACCAGTGTGAGCCACTGTTCCCGGCCTAGACAGATACTTTATACACTCACGCCCCCAACACCACTGCAGGTAGGGGGGACACACACACCATTTTCAGAGTGGTGCAGATGATGACCCCAGCAAAGTCAGGCCCAGCCTGCACAGACCATGCATGCCCTGTGACCACAGCCACGCTGCCTTGCTCCCCTGCACCCCCACTCACTCAAGGTCCTTATTCAGAAAGCTCCGCTCCTCATTCTCCATCCCTAAAGCATGAGCAGAAGGACTTTACCAATTCTCAAGGTGTTGAACAATTGTCAGTCCCATAAAAACCTTTACAGCTTACTTCAATCCTTTCAGGGTAACACATAGGCCTTTTCCACCAAGAAAAAAAATCTATCTTGATCGTTATTTGTACCTCTGGGTTACATGTACTATTTCTTAACCACAGTTATAAGCAGAGAACTGAGAGAATGAGCTAAATCAAGCAGGATGCCCTCGTCACTACCCTTTCCCAAAAAATCTCTAAGGCCAAAAAAGCAACATTTTGCAAGCAGAAGTTACTTTCAATATTCAATAATGCTAGAATGTAGACACAGTTAAGGAGGAAAAATAATTTTATGAATTTTTATAGACCACTGTTTTAGTTTCACTTTGCAGTGTTTAAAAAATTTTAGTGTCACATAAAACTAGACAGCTAGTCATGGCTATTTCAACAAAACCACAGATGTTTCACCTCCGTTACTCCCAGCGCAGCAGCCTGGCACAGCAAGGCCCTTTGCACTCAGTCAGAGACACAGCCGGCTGCAAGAGGCCATGAAAGACACTGCAAAGGGGACAACGGAGCCAAGCGGACAGCAACAAACCGCCACAGAGAAGCACTTTTTACAGACTGCATGGTGCACCCAAGTCCAGTTCAAACCACAGTTAACGGAGGTATCCACCACAACAACAATGCAAAGGGGGCACATGGGGTGAGACCTGGCAGAGTGGGGCTCTGCGTCCACTCCAAGATTACACTCACAACTTAAACTGAGACATCGAAGGACTCTGCTGCTCTAGATAAGACTGTGACTTCAACATCGCACATAAACAGTCCTTAGAAAATCACTCTAGAGCAGTGGTTCTCAACCTTCCTAATGCTGCGGCACTTTAATACAGTTCCTGTGGGTCACGACCCACAGGTTGAGAACTGTTGCTCTTGAGCATAAAACCAGGATACTATGCCAATAGGCACGAGAGCTTAAGGCAGGGACTAATGCAGGGAAGCAGGGAAGAGCTCACATGCTGAGCACCCTGCATAAACCCCAGGGGCACTAGAAGAAGCTAGCAGCCACACGGAATCACAGCCAAGTCACCTGCGCATGCTTTGGGACAGGGACGTGACTTAGGGCAGGCAGGTGGAGGCTCTGGGCTTGGGGACCTCCCCCATTGGCTCTGAGGAACATTTCTCTCCCAGATCCCAGCGCCATGGCAATGGGTAAGGATGGCTGACAGTGTGGCCCTGTGTGCCCACTCGGCTACCCCAGCTGGACACATGCAGGACACACAGACACTCTCCTACCTCAAAACCTCACCTGAATTTTTTCCTCTGGTTCTTTTGAGAAAATGCAACAACTCAGACATGACACCATCATTAGAGAGGAGAATAAACACAGCAACGCCCACAGACCTGTCTCTGCAAAGTCTTAACACTGGGGAAACTTGAACAGTTTCAGCCACTCTCAGCGTCCTCTTTATTAGGACAGCTCCTCACTTCCACAGGAAACGTACAGGGCTAGACTCTTCCCCCAAATTGTCCACCCTGCCCTCTTTCTATCCCTCCAAGTGCACTCCCACACTCCACGTGTTTTCTGCGTGCCCCCTCACTGCTCCATCAATACTCTCACAGAACTTCTGGAGATGAAAATTTAGTATCTCCATTGTACATCTGTGGAAATTTCAGGTAATTTATAAGCTCCCAGAGCAGAGGATAGCACGTAACTGAAAACACACTTGGGCTCTAAAGAAGAAACTTCGCTCAATCAGCCTTCACTCCCAGAATGGTGACAAAGAGAAAGACCGAACGGGGTGTGCTGCAGGTTTCCTGCCCCGGGTCCCAACACCCCGTGGCAGGCTGGGGATGCTGTAAACATAAATACTAAGTTCAAAACTTCTAATCCTTTAATCTGTGAGCATATCCAGGAAATGGTAAAGCCCATGGTCATTTCTTTTAAAAAAACAAACAAACAATAACAAAAAAACCCCCAACAATATAAGGCAACAAAACAATGCATATTTATTGAGCATGTATCATCCTGTCTGCTGTGATCGGACTTGCTTGTCCCTGTTTCGTTTACTGCTTGTAATTACCTTAGAGATAAGTTCTTTTAGGAAAGGGAGCTAAGCCCCAGAGACCTAGCGAGGCCAGCACAAAGTGCCAGAGCCCGAGGTAGCATCAGGCCTCAAAGCTGAGTCCTCCCTGTCACCACTTCCAATATGCTCCAATGATGCCCCATGACCCACTGGGGCCCCCACTGCCACTCTCAACACCTGCTCACCAAGGAAGGGTGGGTTTTCCTTCAGTTCTAAATTGAAATGTTTAGTTAGTAGGAAACTGAACTTCAACTTCGAGGCACAACAGCATCTAGCTCCATGTTACTAAACCAATTAGTTTTCGTATTTATAGTTCTGAAAAATCTTGGGACTGCTATTTTTGAGAGAAATCATAAAATTTTCTCTGAAACATTTAGAAAAATAACATGTCTCCTTTAGAAGCAGAGACTCAGGCTCTGAGCTCAGGCCATCTGCAGGGTCTCCTGACACAGTCCCTGACCCCAGCCCTCCATGCCTGCAACAGCCAAGCCAAGTAACCAAGTAACGGCTCCTTCCAGCTCACAGGAACAGGCAATCAACCCTGCCTCCTTGCAAAGAGCCTGTACCTTCAGTTTCACTTGTCACAATTGGTTTCAGGTTGAAAAGCTACAGCTAATGGTCTACAACTTGCTGTTCTGCCTACAACCTACTCACTGACAAGTTCCTTCAGCCTCCCTCCAAAGCATTCCAGGCTGAAGGGAGACTTCAAACAAGACCTTTTCTTTTACAAGAACTAAGCAGCATTTCAAAGACTTCTTACCAGTACTTAAGGACTAGTTCTGAGAGTAATTTAAACTATCCTCGGGTAACAACCCAGTGGCTATTCACACTGTCAGTTTTTGTGCTGGAGGACGGACTCAGAGCTTCTACCTTCCCTCCGGTTCTGTGCCGACGTGGACAAACCTGTGCTCTGTGAGGACATTCACTGCAGACGGGTGATTGGCACAATACGCGAGGTACAAGGTCTTCATCTGTGGCATCAGGTTTAAAAAGCAGCCTCCAACCCTCTGCTGAGCTTCAGGTAACCTGCAGACACACAGCACACAGGGATAGAGTCATCAGCTACAGACAGTGGAAAAATGCCAAGTGACACACACACAACACCGGGTAGGAAAGACCTCCTTCTGTACCCCATCTGGGAGAAAAGATGCCCAAAGCCCAGAATAAATCTCACAGGGAGAAAAAACTCCTGGAAAGAAGCACTGCTACAAAGTTCTCCTCTGTAGTGTCCAGACTGCCAGGACCTGTGCACAGCAACAAACCCACAAACTTCTGTGGGTTTGGACAGTGAGAAAAACAGGTATCATGGAGCCTTAAATTTTGCATATAATATGGAGAATTGTCAAAGTGGTTATCTGGCTTGTAAGGTTTTCTACCAAAGTAGCATTGAGACCAACACTCCAGGTAAAAGGCTGGAGACAGAGCCCCTCCTCCCAGACCCGCCATCATGATGACCAATAAGAGTGTTCAGAAAGCATAAACTCACAAGAGCAAAAAGAACACAGGAACAGGTGACCAGGACCATTGCTGGAAGGCCCCTAGTGGCCTGAGGAGTCAGAGGCAGTCAGGCCAGGTGGTGTCTCACACAGCAGCATGCCACCTCCCAAAAAGTCAGGAGACTACACACCCAGAAGCAGGGACCCACAAGAGCCCTGACCCACCTTCCCTGCACCTGACACGCTCCTGCCCACCTGATTCCCAGCCAGTACCAGAGAAAAAGTGACAAAAAATATTAACACCAGGGTTTCCTCAGTCGCAGCCCACCACCAGCACTTGTGAACGAGTTGCAGTGTGCCGATCTTAAAGCAGAAGGCAGCAGAAAGGATCAACAACACCAAAACCCGGTAGGAATGACAGAAACAGGATGGGGCAAGCAGGTGAAAGGGTACTTGACAGTTACCACGCGGGGAGCACAAAATTACCTGAAAGAATCACAATTGACAGTGAGTGAAACACAAGACACCAGGTCCATAAAGAACTAAAAAGCTGCCATTAAAATAAGATACTCGTGACAAAATTAAGGGGCTTTTAGAAATTAAAACAATGACAGCAGAACTGAAAAAGTCAAGAGGAGATTTAGAAAATGAAGTTCTGAAAAAAATCTCAGATTAATGGACTAATAGAAAAGACAGAGAAAAATTCTAAGACCAGGGCAAGCCATTCCACATCAGGACTATACAAGGTCCTAATACAGAAAACCAGGAAGAGATAAGCAGAAGTAACCCAGAAAAGTTCTCACTGGAGTCAGCAGAAAGAACAGGAGACAGTAGGATCCAGACAGACTCACACACAGCAGCATGGGGTGCAAACAGGCTGGCCACACAGGACAGCCAAGTTCAGAAGCAAAGATGGGGACCTGAGTGTGAAATGCCGGGTTCACACAGGTGCAGAATAAGGATGGCCTGGGAATCCCACGATCCAGAGCCTAGAACCCAGGAAGGCAGCCCAGAACAGGAGTGCAAACCTCCTCCTGAGAGCCTGTCTCCATCAGGTCAGGGCTAAGCACGCAGGCTGCCTGCCACACAGCCATTCCTTAGAAGGGTCCCAACAAGGGGCAGGACCAGACTGTGGGAGCCTGGCAATAACAGAGGAAGGCAACACCGTCACAAGCACCAGGATGAGACTCAGGCCCTGCAACTGCCACTCCCTCCAATGAGCGTTCTTAGTCCCCCACCACTGTGACAAAACACCTCAGGTTGGGTAATTTATAAACTGCAGAAATTTACTGTGCACAGTTCTGAAAGTTCAAGGTCAAGGCACCAGCAGACTCTGTGCCTAGTGAGAGGCAGGTCTCTGCTTCCAAGTCGGGCCTGGCTGCACCCTCACAGGCTGAAGGGAACACGCAGCCCCTCAGGCCTCCCACAGGACGCTAATCCCATTTACCAGGCCTCCACCCTCATGACCTAATCACCACCTCAAGGTTCTGCCTTTTAAGTTTCAACACAGAACTTGGGGGGGACATTCACACTTCAGTGCGCTCTGCCTCCCCACACATCTGCTGGCCTGGCAGGCCTTTCAGCACTGTGCCACCACCATGCAGGCAGGACCTTGGGCACAAACTGCCCTAGTTCCAACTCCAGCAAGTCTCTGGGTGTCTCCTCTGAATCACACACCCCCAGCAGCAAGGAGACTCATTGATTAGAGCTACTTTCTATCCTGAGGCTAAGTACTTACAGGATGGAGAAAGCCAAAATGTGAGAATCACTGAGTTATAAATTCTAAGAAAAATCTCACATTCACAACACCAAGCACTCAAGACTCACAGTAACTTGGTCTTTTCCCTGTTTCTCAATACTTGCTATTCACTCTTTACAGTTTACCAAAGCTCCAAAAGGCTGTTCTCATCTAGTCTAAGAAAACATCCTGAACCATCCAGCCTGCCCCATCATCCCGCAAACATCCTGAGCCATCCAGCATGCCCCACCGTCCCGCAAATGTCCTGAGCCATCCAGCCTGCCCCCCGTCCCGCAAACGTCCTGAGCCATCCAGCCTGCCCCCCGTCCTGCAAACGTCCTGAGCCATCCAGCCTGCCCCTCCGTCCTGCAAACGTCCTGAGCCATCCAGCATACCCCTGTGATAGTGAAAATGAAGCTGCGCCCTGCCGCTTCATCCAACACTCAGTCATGCCCAACACAGCTGGCCTCCCTTCTATGTTGCATAACATGCTACTTTTAAAACACATGGACTTCAGAGGGAGGAGCAAGATGGCAGCTTCCTTGCAAGTGGGCATGGAGAGACTGGGGAGAGAAGACTCCAGGCATCTCTGGCTGGTGGGATCTACCCAGAAACTTCTCTTTGGGGACACAGGGATCAGCAAAAGACTTTTGGACCCCACGAGGAAGACAGAAGCAGTGGAGAACTGCCAAGTGGTGCCTGTACTCGTTCGGTCTAGTCCCGCTGGCAGCTGTAAGCACAGCAGCAGTGAGACTGCAAACTGGAAAGGCCTTACCTGTGAGCTGTCTTGGTTTTTTTTTTGGACTTGGCACTCAGTTGACCTATCTTGGGAAAACTTGGGCAAGAGTGCAGAGGACTTCAAGTGTTATCGAGGGCCCCAGACTGAGCTGCTGAGCCTGACAGAGCTAATAGTATTTGGATGTGAGCCCCACAGAGCCACTGTGGGAAAACTGCCCCCTGCAAGCTCCGCCTTCAGGTCCCAGAGCAAGGATCCAGCGGGAGACCTTGGGTGAGTAATCTCATGATTGAGCAGCTTAAAGGCGGGGACTGAGACACCTTACAGCCCTGGCCCTCAGGGGCACAGAGTGAGACTGGTATTGGCACACTGGGTAAGTGGACAGCCACTTCAGGAGTGATCCCAGCAACAAGTACTTTCCTGGGAAAGCTTCTGCTTAGCCAAGGTTAGCAGTTTAAAGTACCTTTTCCATGGGCTCAGGAGAGATTTATGCTCTCCACCCTGTGGGGTTTGAGAAATCAGCCAAGGCCTCCAGTCTCCATCTCATATAGCCATGTAAGCACTGTGGTTAACATCTCATACCCGAGAAGATCGCCTGCTGCCCAGACAATATTTAGCAAGATATATATACTGCTTTCTTTTTGGTTATTTTTTGTTTTGTTTTTTTCATTTTTTTTGTTTTCAAATTTTAACATTTCTCCTCTAGAGTCTTCCTTTTTTTTTTCTTTCTAACTTAAATATAATTTTCCATTGTTGCCTTCTTTAACAATTAGAACTTCATTTTTGCTAGTTTCTACCCCTATTATTTGGTTTTACCCTAAATTTTACCCATAAAGTTTTCTGTTTGCTTGCTTAGGTTTGATTTACAGCATTTCTGTCTTTCCTCTCTACTGGGTGGAGGGGGCTACTGTGTCCGAACAGGGCAGCAAAGAGCTGCTGCCCTCAAGGGAACCATTCAAACCAGCACCCCCAGAGGTTGGGGGTTTTTTAAGGTTGATGTACCCTACTGTACATCTATGCTGCTCCCGTCTCCCTTGCTCTGCCCCTTTCCTCTTTCTGTCAGTATTCCCTGTTAATCACCACCTCTCCTTTCTCTTTTTTCTTTTCTTTTTTTCTTTCTTGCTCTTCAACCTTCCCATCCTTCTGGTCTGGTACTAAAAGGACCCACCAAAACCCTAGTCCAGAGGCACAGTAACTTACAGAGCAAGAGGAAGTGAAAGGAAAATTAAGGCAAGGAAACAGACAGAAGAAAACACTCATGAGGAAGAATCAGCAGAAAAATCCTGGCAACATGAAATGCCAGTCCAGAGCTACCCCCCAAGGGACCGAGAGGGAGCTACTGCAGAGGATTCCACCCATAAAGAAATGTTAGAAATGACAGAAAGGGAATTTAGAATATAGATGATGAAGACAGTGAAGGAAACTGCTGATAAAGTGGAAAATAACCAAATCAGAGATGAACAATATGAAGAATATGGAAAGGGCACAGCAGAGCTGAAGGACCTGAAGCAATTAGGGAACTTAAAGACGCAATAGAAAGTATCAACAACAGATTAGACTGTGCAGAAGAAAGAATCTCAGAGGTAGAGGACAAAGCTCTTGAGATATCTCAGATAGTTAAAGAAGCAGAAAAGAAGAGAGAGAAAGCAGAGCATTCACTGACAGAATTATGGGACTTTATGAAGCATTCAAACATATGAGTTATAAGTATCCCAGAAGGGGAAGAAGAATGCCCCAGGGGAATGGAAGCCATACTAGAGAATATTATAAATGAAAATTTCCCAAATATCACCAAAGATTCTGACACACTCCTTTCAGAGGGATACTGGACCCCAGGTCACCTCAACTCTAACAGAGCTTCTCCAACACACATTGTGATGAACCTGTCCAAAATCAAGACAAAAGGAAAGATTCTTCAAGCTGCCAGGAGTAAGCACCAGTTGACCTACAGGGGCAAATCCATCAGGGTGACTACAGACTTCTCTAATGAAACCTGCCAAACAAGAAGACAATGGTCATCTCCCTTTAATCTACTTAAATAGAACAATTTCCAGCCCAGAATTCTATATCCTGCTAAGCTAAGCTTTAAAATTGACAGAGAAATCAAATCATTTAC